AAAAAAAAAAAAAATATATATATATACTGAATTTTTCCAGTTGATTGATTACATTTAAGAATTGCAAAACATTTTTTTTATGCAAATCAGGTGTTTTCCTGGCTCAGAATGAGGTGGAGGTAGTACCATCCTGATGATGTGCACACATGCACTTGTACCATGCCTTCAAGTGGCTGAAGCAAACACTTTTTTACAAGCAATGTATTTTAGGTTTTCTAATAATTAGATGATAACTGCCATTTTCTTCAATCGAGTTACAGTATATTCCACAAAAAGTTAACCTGTTGAACAGGAATTAAATACAACTTAACAGCGAAAAAGGGCTCTTTTTGCAGTGTAGAGTAACATAAACATAACTTACAGGTCAGTAAACATTGCATTGAAGCCATTAACACAGTGCACAACCAGAGGCAGAACATTTCAGCCTCCTATTTTTCTATTTTTTTAAACCTCTTCATGCACTCCTTATAGTCCAACACCTCCTGGCCCACATCCCAATGTACATTTATCAACCTATTCTGAAAAGTATTTCTAGAAAACTGATCAAAACATTTTCTTATGACCTTACCTGAATTCTTTTGACAAAATACATCATGAAATATAATCGCAGCAGGGTTACAGATGCATAGTAGCTGCAATTAATTCAATTAATTTCAAGTTTATTTGTATAGCGCTTTTCACGATGCAAATCGTTGCAAAGCAACTTTACAGAAAATTACATCTACAATTCACGCTTTTACTCAAAATTTCCTTTAAACCACCATGAAGCGATAACTTCTGATTGCGATCTAATGTGGATTTTGGTCATGTAATGTTGTTGAAATGCTATTTGTAGCATTTTATAGCAATCTAATCGCTACACCTGCTTAGCAGGTCTCATGTAAACATCCTTTATTGTTATGAAAATCCCCCAAATCTCATGAAAATCACACTCAAATCATATACTATCATAATTGTGTTTATTAACCACATGTTTCGTGTGTAGATATGTTTCTCTGGCTTTATGTATGGAGCAGAATATTGGAAGTGTAATGGAAGTTCCTCATCGGAAGAGACAGGGCGGGTTATGAACATGTGGGGCATGCATGGGGGAAAAAACTGTTTTATTGCCTGTAGTTTCTTGCCTTAAGCATGAGCCCATAGATGATTAAACTGTGACTATTGTATTGGTTGTTTGCAAAAACACATAGATCAAAAAGAATAATTGATTAATAGTGATGGTAAGGTCATTTATAATTCATAAGTCATTTATACATTTCAAATAAATGCCATCCTTTTGAACTTTCTATTCATGATAGAATTCTGGAAAAAGATGTATCATGGTTACCACAAAAATATTAAGCAGCAAAATCTGTTTTCAGCATTGATAATAATAAGAAACATTATTAATAACTGAGCACCAATAATTATTGGTGATAACTGAAGCTTCGCAAAGACCCAGTTACAGTTGCTACGTCCAACGAACCATGGCACTCTCATGCCACACATCATGTTCTCACGCAGTGCAAAATACATCGCAGAGTAAAGAGGACACTGACAGCGCACTGACAGACAGACAGAGCAGGTTACTTTTGGTATGAAACAAACTCTCAGCTAGGCCTAGGCGATAAAACGGTATCGGTATTTATCGACGGTACACCTTCATCGATAACGATAGAAAAAATGTTCGATATAGGCCCGTGCTATGAGTGACACAGACAGCCCACGAACACGTGCTGAAATGAGTGCTGTGCCTGCCTGTGATGAGGAGATTGTGAATAAAGAATGAATATTAGTCGAATTTAAAATAAACATTTGCATTTGAATGTTAGGTGTGCATCAGGGATCGTCATCAGTGGAGTGCGAGATGCGGTGATGATGTGTGACGTTGTTGCATTTTAATGTTTTGTTAGCCCACGAGATGCGCCGCTGCTGCGTTATGCATTCAAAATATTAGAGAAATATAGTAGCTCAATGCGGAAAAGATCTTAACTAGGTTAAAACCGAAACTAAGCCATACACACAGAACGCATATTCAGCGCATTTTTTAGACGGATAAATACAACTGCTGCACTCGCGTCTTCACACAAGAGATGTAGCCATGCAAAGTTAAAAAAGTTAAAACTTTTAGAAAACACGTCGCGAATTTGTGAAGGTTTATTCCATTTCACTGCGTCTCTTTTGTTTTTAAATGCAATCTGTGTGAATGGCGCTTCGGCTCTTTGTATAAAGCAATGCATAAATACATGATGCTGTTTTGTTCATAATTGTTTATGCAATTTACGAAATTATATTAGATTTTTATATGTTAATTTAGACATTATGCACGTTTTTTTATAGACAGTTGTTATTTCATTGCACTGAATAAACTATTTAATACGCTGCATTATTTTGCTCATTGCGCCCTCCTGTTGCCTCGGGAGACAAGACAAAATTTTCAAAAAATTGTTTAATCTTATTTAATCTGCATATAAAACATTAGAAAGGAGATATTTGTTTAAATTTTATTTTGTGTTTGACTGTTAAAACAAAATAAACAAAAAAAATTTGTTGTCTTAATAAATTGGGTAAATTAAAAATACAGTGGTTAAATAAATAAAAAATTCTATTGCTCTTTGTTTTAAAAAGGTTTATAAAAATTGTCAATAATTATCGATACCGAACGATATGAAACATTATATCGTTGATCAATTTTTTAGCTATATCGCCCAGCCCTAGTCTCAGCTTTCAAATTTTGTCACTTTTTAAAGAAATACCGTTTTGTGGCTCTTTAATGTGTCTTGACAGATCGCTGTAGCGCCTTGTGAACCGTTCATCTCTTCCTCTTTACTGTTTATAGCACAAAATTAAACATGAATGAACATCAGAGGGTATCTTGTTCCAACCGCAGAAAGACATCAATACACACCGTTTTCAAGTTAATCTAGTCTCCTGTCTGGTTTGTTTGTCAGACAGAATGGCAGGTTCAGCGTTATGATTGGTCAGATCGCCTGTCAATCAAACTCCCTGCGAAGGGTCAATTGAGCACCATCAGCATATTAGAATGATTAAAAAAAAATAATAATTCATTTTCAAATTTAAATAATATTTAACAATATTTCTGTTTTGTTTTTTTTGTTTACTGCAAAAAAGACTTCTTTTAAAAATATTACAAAAACTTACATTAGTAATATAATAGTGTGGATTCAGGTTAATTGGGAAATTTTTCCACAGTCATCTCAATGGCTAAAAGTGTCCAAATGACCTAAATTTGAAATGAACATTTTTCAGGTGCCAGGATCATTGTCCGTTCTTTTTGCTGTAATAAATGGTGTATTATCTGATAACTGTGTTTTTTCTTGTATGTTTTAAGGGGTAAAAGGAGTCAGCAGGGAGCAGAACCAGGACAAGTAGACGGTCACGAAATCCGTTTCTTTACCCCAGTGCGGCGTTCGGTGCGGATCGAGAAAACCGCTCTGCGCTATCCGACAGCTTTGCAGGAACATGATCCCTGTGTGACCTCTCTTTGTGACCTCGCAGGTGAGAGTAAGGAAGACGTCATAGATGAAACGCGACCCCAAAGCTCTCCTGTGTATGTGTACCGGGAGAATGAAGCGCTGAGAGATCATGTTCACATTAAACTCGTCTATCCAGAGGAGATTGAAACATGATAATGTTTATTATCATGCAGTGACCTTCATTTCCCACCTGGAAGCAATGAATAATTGTTATCAGTTTAATTCTGTGTTCACTATCTCTCAGTAAAATCTCTTTTGTACACATTTAGCCAATCTTATATACTACTAAAAACATCACTTGCTAGATTTCAGCCAGAATTTTTGCTTTGGCTCTCACAGTTAGATGCTACCTAATTGGTTCATACCTTCATTGCTATGAAGAATCTAAACATTAAGTACTGCTATATGTACAAATAGGATGATGGCATTGTCTAAATGTGGTGTAAAATTCTGAAGGTACCCATACTGCAAAAGATACTATAGAAATGTCAGTATTATTAATCAGACTTGACAAGTCTAACTTCAGTTGTAATTTATGGGTCAGACTCAATCTCTTGTGCTTGTCTGAGCAATAGCATACATGTAAGAAATTGGATTTTGCGTGATAATTAAACCATTTTTGAGTCACTGATGCTGTTATTTTGTTCCATTGAAATTGTAGAGTTACTGATAAGACTGATTGGATGACTACATTCTGATCAAACAAAATCTCTAGATGTAAACAAACATTTTATGAGTCTTAGCGCTATTCGTTTCCTGAGCTTTGTTTTTAGGTCATTTCCCATTGATGTAGTATGACTGTATCTACATCTTCATTGTTTATTAAATCTTGAAATGTAGATGCTTATTGTTGATTGGCAAACAATGTGAGGTTTTTAGGTTAGTGAAAATTTAAAGTTCATGTACCACTGTATATTTGCTTTTTTGGTGCAGTAAAGTGTCTTGGCAAAGCTCGCATTTCAGGAAGGGGAGGGATACATTTTTCCCAGGCTGGTCAAAACAAGTAGTGGATTTAGTTAGAAGTAGAATGTCTCAACTGTTTCTGGGAGACTATTGTGTGTGGTCTCAACAAGACATCAGGTCCAGTAAACTGATGATTTAAAGAGATATGTTAACCAAACAAGAAAATCATTTACTCACTCCCATGTCAGACTATGACTTTCTTCTTTAGAACACAGAAGAAGATTTTTTTTTTTGGCTTCTATTGTAAAGACAAAAACAGTTAAACACTCTTCAAAACATCATGTTTTGTCTTGCGACAGAACGGTCTTATCTGCAGGAATTACAAGGTCTTCAGGAGCCACATTGCAAAATATATAACAAAAACATACAAATTTACACTATTTTTGGAATTATTTTTTTTTATGTTTTAGAAGAAACTCTCTTACCACGGCTGCATTTATTTGATCAAAAATAAAATAACTGGAATATAATTACAATAAAAAAAATTATTTAAAAAAATGTAATCTGTTTTATGTAATTTATTCCTGTGGTGGTAGCCATTACGCCAGTCTTCATTGTCACATGATCATTCAGAAATCATTTTAATATGCTGATTTGGTGCTCAAGATACACTTACACATTTTTGGGGGAAATTCTTTGGTGAATAGAAAGTTAAAAAACAGCATTATTACAACAGAATTATTATTTGAAAAAAAAATAAAAAATTATTTGAATGTCTTTGCTGTCACTTTAGATAAATTTGCATCCTTGCTGAATAAAATTATTAAAGTTTGAACAGTAGTGTACAAAGGACATGTATAGGGGAGAGTGGGGTAAGATGAGGCAGACGTACAAGTAATTTCAGGATGTTTCCTATCATTTTAAATGATCAGAATGTATCTATGACAAAGGATTCTAAAATATGGCTTCTTATTTAAAAAAAAAAAAAAAAAAAGTTTCCCCGGGCTCAGTTTTGCCCGAATAAGTTGAAACGAGGCATCTGTAATGTATTGCATCATATGTCATTATTTTCCAGCAAAAGTGTTTATGAATAAAGCTGTCATGGAGTTTCATTTTCATTTATAATAATAATAATAATAATAATACAAATTAAAAGGCCAATAATTTATTGTAAAGAATAAAAAACATAAATACTATATATATATTATTTAATCAATTAAATATTACATAAATAATTCATATTAATTAAATGCAAATTTAAAAAAAAAGTGTTCCCGTGGCTCAGTTTGCCCCAGGTTAGGAGTAAGTTGATCCGGGTCTGTCTGGGTGTAAACTGACCATCTAACTGAATCTGATTCAAACCTATGTGAAATTTTAACGATAATTTACCACTTAAAAACTGATTTAATAATGAATTTTAATTTTACAAATCATATTTCTTTTCTTAAAGTTAACTTAACATAAAACCAACCAAATCAAGTTTAAATTTCAATACCTAGAATTGTTTGCATTTCTGAAACAATATGTTGAACACCAAAGTTGTAACCTTCCCAAAAACAGACTAAACAGAATTTGTTGAGTAAAATTAAATCAAAACTTAAAGGTGCAATAGGTGATTGTCTTCAGAAAAATTTTT